TTATTATTATTTCCCCAATGGATAGTTTTTTATCAGAAGCTATGTCATCCATGGAGGAAGTGTTATCATTGGAAAAATCTTATAAAGTTCCTTTACTGCATTTGTAAAATGAAATAATTTGAACAAAAAATAAAGATTAAAATTGATGAATTTACACTAACCTGGGCTCTCACATATTGTTTATAGTGTAAAAGAGAAATAAATTTTCAAATTTAATTGCATTTTGTACTATATATATTAGATATTTTGTGTCAACTGAAATTATTCCATAAACAATATACTTAGTACTGATTAAAAGCACGTTTTAATCTGCAGAATAAATACCTCTGTAATAAAAACAGAAGTAATACCTGAATTTACTGAAGTACTGTCATATTTAGTGATTGCTATTATCATACATATTTTCTTCATAGGATTTGAAAGAAATGATTATCAAATGTGTTAAAATACAAAAATGATTTTTGTATTTTAACACATTCCTTATATTATAAAGTAAATAGTTTTATAATTTAAAAATAAATTTTTTATGCTGAACTTTTTTGTAGTTAGATAATATATTTTAAATTAAATGTTTTTTTAGTGAAAAATTAAAATAGCAATAAATAAAAAGAAATTTTATGTCAGGCAATACACAGTATTTTTGAAATTTTTCATTCTAAATTAATTTATTCTTTCTTTTGTAAGAAATTAATGCACTGTTTTATAACGATTGTTAAAATAATTTAGAATTTGTTCTTTTAGATGCGTTCTTTAAAAAAAAACTTGAGAAATTATATTAAAACAATGTTGCGAAATAAATTTATTTTGAATGAAAAATGTTTTAATATTCAAAGTTTTTTACTGATAAAAATGATTTTTGATGATATATATTATTAATAAATATTGTTTTGTTGTTATATATTTCTTTGTTTTAAATATGATGTTGTTTGTTTTAGTAATGCTGTTCAACATTTTTCATTTGTATTAACAAGCATTGATAGCAAATGGACTTTTGGATTTTGCAGACATGCAGCAAATTCACCAACCTGTTTTGTAATTCTCAGGTATATATTAAATAATATTTGTTTGAATTTTTTATTTATTGATTATTAAGAAAGGATGAGAATTTTTTAGATTTTTATTTATTATAAAACAGTGAAAACTGATTAAAAGATAATTAGTGATGTACTATAATTTATCTTATAGACAGACAAATATAAAAAAATTTGTTTTTGTTATTTAGTTTTCAGAATAAATTTTGAATTTTACAGGTTTACATTTGAGACAGTTTTGCATGTTATTTGATTAATTCAGGCAATCAGTTAATTGGGTCATAAGGCTAGTTTCAATTCATCCTAACAGTTAACCAGAATTCATTGTATTTTGATTAATTTCAAAGCTAATATTGTATTTTTTTTTTATTGTATGCCATCATATAAGTTATATTTGTAAATATTAAAACTATAGTACCAAATGGTCTATCATACTTTTTATTATCCTATATTAAGGCTAATTAATAATCAGATACAAAGAAATAAGGCTCAAGGTAGGCAGTTAAACTGCTGCCAATTAATTAATTAATTAATAGCTTTACAAGTAAAGATTGGACAGAGATCCAAGTAGTGAGTCCCACTCTTGGCCAATATTTTCTTCCAGAATATTCTAAATTAAAAATAAATGTTTTTTAGTTGTTAAATTTATAATGAGATGACAGTTTAAGTCATACCTCTAGCCAATTTGCTTTGTAACTGATCATTAATTAGCCTTAATATAGCCTGATAAAAAAAAACTCATCAATTGGTACTACAAATGTTATTAGGTGTTGTATATGTTGTTGTTAAAACTATAATAAATCTATAGGAAAGGTAAATAATTTTTATTCAAATCATGTAGAACATTATTTAATTTCATTAACATTATCACTTTAAATATGGTATTGTATAAAGCAATGTGCCATTTAATACATATTTTTATATGAAATTGTTTATATATTGTTATATATTTTAATGATTTTAATTGAAAACAGGTGATTTATTTATTAACATGTTTATATTAAAAATATATTTATATATTTATCAGTAAATTAATTCTTGTTATAAATAATTCACATAGGATAATAGCGTTTACAAAATCTTAAATGAATTTTTTATTCATTACATCTGTATGTGTCTTGCTTCAAAATAATTATTACAGATAAAATTTGTATTTGATACATAAAAATTATATCGTTTTAAAATTATTGTAAAATTAGAAGAATGGTACAATTTATTTGTTGCATAATTTACATATCAGCAAAAACAGTCTTTGTAAAATGTACAAATAATGTATGATTTTAATAGATAATATATATATTACTACTGTAAAACTTATGCATAACAAAATCTTTACTTTAAAGCAATTTTTTTTATCTGACTTATTTCTGTTTTTTTGGTATTTAGTTTATTTATTTTTAAATTAAACACTTATCTTAGAGAATAAAATTATGGTAAATATTTAAAAATATATGTTTTTTAAATTTTATATATAATATATCTTTTATTTTTTAGTTATCTTCCATGGCATGAGACATTTTACAAATTACTAAATCATGCTGCTGAAATTGCATTTGGTCAAGATGTAAGTGTTTACATATTAACATTGATTTTTTTAGATCTTATTATAATTCATAGTATTAATATAATACTTATTTTCAAATTGAAATAATTTCACTTTAATTAAAATTAGACATATTTTATATTATCAAATAAATAAAGTTTTATTATTAAATATTTAGGAAAAATTTTAACATCCCATTGTCCATTTAAGAATACTTGAGATTATAGTTATTTTATAAAAACAAGTATAATTAAAAGATTATTTATGATAAATTGAGAATGAGTTGACTAAAATAATTTCATTGAGAATGAAATGATAGTGATTTTTATTTGTATAAATATTTTTTAAATAAAAAATTTATTGATATACAAACATCAGCTAAATAAACCTAATATTTGATTAAAGCCAGATGATATGATAAATTATCAGACTATGATTAGGCTAGGTTAATAATAGCTAGACTAATCATAGCCTAATAATTCAAGCAGATAGTCTTACTTCAAATGGTACTATTCAAATTTTATTATCTAGATTTAATTTATTGTTATTACAAGCATTATGTAAAAAAATATATTTGTGGTATAGACTAGAATTTTGTTGAAATTTATAGTAAAGTAATTCAGTTTGAAGATGTTTGATTCTTATTTTGAAACTTTTCATTTTAGTGTAAAAATAAAATAAGAAAACGAACATCTAATATTTTCAAAAATTAAATAACATAATGTTAGATAATAAAATAGACATATTAATTGAAAATATATAAAAATTATTTATCAAAATCTATTAAAGAAGAAACAATTAATATACAATCGAGTCCGCATAAGTTGTCATAGGTATAACTAGAGACAGTCGGTTAAGTAGTCGGTTTTCTGTGGTCCCGGCTGACTTACATAGGCATTAATGTTAAAAACTCTGGTTTACTTGACACCATTTAACTCAACATACTTTTGCTGTCCCACACTCGTTTAGATGTCTGATAAGTTGAAGCCCCTCCTGAAAAAAATGAGTTCACACCACAGCTTACTGTGCAGTGTAAACTCATTTTTTTCAGGAGTGGAGTCAACTTATTTATTAATATATACATACTAATAAAGAGGCTTTAAGATTTTATGTATTTTTATATATAAAATAATAACATAAAACAAACAGAAAATATACAATCTATATCAACATCATGGCAGAATCCGATTTTGCATTTTCTCATGTCATGCGTTAATTGTAGCACATGTTTCACATTTCTGTTAGAAATGAGTGTCGGAAAGCTAACAAAATTTATGCTGAAGGAAAAATACAAATTTGTGTCTGAATTTGAATGTAAGAAAACTTCGCAAGCCAAATTTGCAAAACAAAAAAACCTTCCAAGAACAACATTGGTGGGAATCCTGAAGAAAAAAGAGGAAATTAAGAAACTTTTTTTTGGATCTTCATCGTGACTGTCTCAAAAATGCCAGAGAAAGTTGCCGTACAAAGATGCTCGGGTACGTTGGCTAAGCAAATTCATTTATCAAATTTTCCTGTTTCAGGGCCGATACTGAAACAAAAAGTGACGGAAATCGCTGAAATACTTGGAGTAGAAGCCAACTTTAGTGCTAGTGGTGGATGGTCAGAGAGATACATTGCATGCACTGTATAAAGCACTATTGTATTTTCCTAATTATAGTTTTGTAGTTTTTTATCCTTTTCAGCTTTGTTTTAGTTGTCGTATCAGATAACTCGACACATTTCCACTTCCTTTTGGGGTGTTGACTTATGCAGACTCGACTGTATATCGTAAAGTTTTGAAATATAAATGAATTTTGTTCAAATATTAATTGCATTTATTCATTTTTTTTGTGTTGAACTTTAAAGAAAGACAATTTGACAGTTTTCTATGTATCTCTATTTATTATATTAATCAATTTTATACCATTTTCTCCATTCTGTTATGGTGACATAGTTCAAACTATATACTCTTACTTCATTCATCATTTAGTTCATTGCTATTTTATGTGCAATAATATCTGCAGAGAAAAAATGAATGAAACTCCATACATTGTAAATAGATTTATTTCAAACTGTTTTATTTCATTTTGTATTCTTTTGGAAAAATTTATTAATAAAGAACACTTGAAAAAAAATATTCAATAATAAGTTATTAGGGATTAATTTAAAGAATGAAATCGCATTTTTAAAAAAATAATTTCTTGAAATTCAAAAAGTTTTTGAAATAAATATGAAGTAATATTTAAATGGATTTATCAGATATTTTCAAATGTTTTTTAACTCTTGTTTTCATAGGAATTATTTTTTTTTATCTGTATTTCTTTTTTCCTTTTGCTTTTCTATGAATGGTTATATTTTTTTCTGTAATATTTATTATTATTAAAAAGACTTGAAAATATTTATATGTATTTTTATGTATATATATTTAGCCGGAAGAATTATGGAAATTTTTAGAAGTTTTGTACAAAACTAAAGTTCCTGGACCTGGATTGCAACTTCATGTTACTCATAAGAATGGAAAACTTGTAATTTTCTTATTTACTTATAAATAAATAAGAAATTAACATAATCTAATTAAGTAAATTTTTATTAAAGGAATTTATTAGTAACTGTCCTGATCATCATAAGTTGCCAAGTATTCCAGAAAATGTGAGTATTAAGATAAATATCAACATAATTATATAAATCAATCAGTTTATGAAAATTTCATCAAGAATTTAAATGAGTGAAATTTTAAGTGAAGAAATATAAATTTTAAAATATAATATAATACTAACTTTAAAAAATTTAATTTCAGAGAAATTTGACAGAATATTACAATGCTGTTGAGGTCCAAAATATGATGATAATATTTGCTAGGTAAATATAAACTTTAAGTTAATTATAAAAATTAATAAAATTGATTTTAACTTATTAAAATTAAATAAAAATTACTGTAAATTTTATTTAAAATGATTTATTGTAGTAGAAATAAAATTTTATAAAGATAAATTTACTAGTTATTACTTTTACATATAAATTATCATATTTTTAATTTTATTAGTGTGTTTTTTAAAGTTTGATTTGTCATTAGTTACAACATTCTAACTAAAGTTTAATAGCTCTGTAAATTGGAGAGATTTCTGAATTAATCATTAGACTAATTATGTACGAAAAAATATATTAACCTATCCCATGTTGAAAATTTTCTCCGTTGCGTGTCATTTCGCGTTGAATTTTCGTCAATGTTAAGCCTAACGTAAACTTTTTAAAATAATAATTGTGGCTATTGTATCGTTAAAAATTATTTCTTTATTTTGTACAAACAAAATAAATATATTGAAAAATATAAAAACAAAAAAAAAATACTTTAGAAGTTAATCTAGTATCAAAAACGTTCGATTCAGCATGACACACAGTCCTCAGAAAGACACCACACAAAACTGCCAGTGCTGCCAGCTAAAACACAAACATAAAAAATATTTGAGTAGCCCAAGACATAGCCAAAGATTGCAGTGCCACAGCACTAGCGAAAATTTAAATTTGCCAACTGGAATTCTTTTGGATAACTGACGTTTCAGATAAATGATGCTCTGCTGTATAAAAAATTAGTTAGAGTATTCTTTTATTTTAAATTGGAAATCTAACAACTTTTTATATGTAGCAAGTTCTCATTAAATGTCATCAATAGATTCTTGGAAACTGCAATGTTAAGAGAAACAGCATATAATGAAACTAATTTACCATAGCATAAATGATATAAACAAGATATACTTTGGTTTATATTATTCTAATTGGATTGTATTTGCAATCTCCAGCATTTATTTCCCACCTCATAGAATCAATTTTACTGTTTATAAAAAAATTCAACAATAATAATTGTAAATACTTGTTAAAATGAAGTATACTTGTATCCTTCCTCAACATTGTTATAATGAAACAATGTTAAGTGAGGACTTGCTGTATTTCTCTTCTCCAACTATACTAGTTGTATTCTTTTTATAGCTTATATGCCATAGATTAATCTCTATAAACTTTTCTTTTTGTTGTTATCTTGTAACATAATACTCAAATTAATAATAATATAGTAATATATTTATGGTATTATTTCTAATTCTATGGTATCAATTCTAATTGTTGAAGTAAAGGAATTCTTTTACAGTATGCTTCATGAAAGAAGAATTTTAATTACTTCAAAAAAACTCAGTCGGCTAAGTGCTTGTGTTCAAGCAGCTAATGCTTTGATTTATCCAATGCATTGGTGAGTGACATTTATGTTTTTATTCTAAATTAATGTTTCATATGATGTCTTGCTTTCAGATGAATATGGTATATGTCAATGCTTGAATAATGTATTTAAACTGAGATAAATTAACAAGCAGTTTTTGAATATTTTTTTTTTAAACTTTTAAATAAAACCATTTGAATTTATTTTTAAATTGAAATTTATGGTATTTGAGTATTTTTATAATTCATAGTTTTATTTTGAAGATTTAAACTGTGTATGATTTTAAATTTTAATTTATTTTTCAGGCAGCATATTTTCATTCCTGTGCTTCCAAATCATCTATTAGATTATTTAAGGTATAAAAAGTACATTTATTGATTTTATATTAATATACGATGAATATTTTTAATGATAAGTGATTTCCATGTTAAATAATAATATATTTTGTATTAAAAATTAAATTTCACATGTGACATATTTGTGACTGAAGGGTCGGCACCTCTTTGGTGCCCTGTCAGGATGACACCACCGCGTCTCGGCGGACACGGAAGCCGCGTTATTTTGGTCACGCGAGCGGTCGCGTAACGGAGCGATCAGAGTCGAGATAGAAGGAGAGAGAACGCACCGGAAGGGATTTACTCAGACGCTTTTTTAATGTAACAACTGTTTAATGGTTAACGATAGGATATACATTAGGGCTGCTATTAGATACATTGCTCGCTTTAGTATATAATAGTATTTAGATATTAAGATATTAAGATATTACGTTTCTTCCCGTTTTGAGAGAGAGAGTTTACAGAAGTTCGCGTGTCGATATTTACCTTGTATGAAATCCCAAAAGAAGACAGTTCCGGACTCAGAAAACAGAAGACACAGTTCTTAGGCGTAGAAATATCCAAAGGCGAAGAAATATCCAAGGGCAAAGAAATATCCAAAGGCGAGGCACAGGGATAACTGGAGTGGTCCGAACGAGGAACTGGTGACGACTGACTCACTTTGTTGTCGTGTCTAATGTTGAATTGTTAAAATCGCGCTATTAGGTCGAAAGGTGCTGAGAAAGCGTCGTTATTACGCCTGAGAACTTAGCAGATGTTTAGCTCCCAGTTGTAAAAGTTGACAGTTATTAAACAAAAGTATAGCTGTACTGTGATCTTATGACACCGTGGAATGAAGGTAGAACTACAATGTGATATTATGATGAGATGATATAAACACATCCGAATTCGGAATCTCACATCACCTTGGCCTTTCTAAAATCGTGCTTGTTCTCAATGGGCAAGATCGATTTTCAGTTAAACAGTTATAATTGATTTTCTTACTCTCTCTCTCTCTTTTAGTGTTACAATAAAGTTATATAGTAGTTATATATAGTTATAGAGATATTATAAATTGACAATGAGATATTAACAGAGTCGTAAAATCATAAGATTAGATACATCGCGTACAGTAGCGTGTGTTGATATTTTTAGTTTACAGTTAAGATTTTAAATACTCTCTCTCTCTTGTTATGATAACGCGGTGAGAATAAACCACAATAACAAAAACATATGAGTAAATCTAAATGTTTATTATTGATATTTAAGTTACACAAGGTAAATATGAGATTTAACGGTTACAATGATAATAAAACAAAAAGTGATGATATTTGGATCATGCTAAAGATTGATGAAGGAGGTGATTTGATTACATTAAGGGAGGAGTTCGGTCTCCTCGAGAAGTAGAAATTACTAGGGGAGTTTGTGACGTAGTGTGAGGAGCACCCTCACGTAACTCTATGGTGGGACGAAGTCGGCGGACACGGGGTTGGAAGGCTTGGCGGGCCTTATATATAATTATGAGGATGCCTCCTACTCCCAATGTAGCAAGGATGGAACTTAAAATGATAACGATTGGTGAAGTGGTAGAGGTCAGAGGGTAACTGTGTTGACTGTGATGGGCCGAGAGAAGTCGGTCTAGATCGAGTTCCATTGAATGTAGAGATTGGTCCGCTCGTAAAACGTCGGAATCTGGTTGTTTCTCAGATGGCGAAGTTGTGTGTTCCTTTTTGATGAGATGGTTGCGAATTATTTCTAGTTCGGTTTCATTTATGATATTTTCAATAGGTGGAATGAGGAAGTGTCTGATATTTTCGATTTGAATAGCGGTTTTCCGCTGGAAATGAGATGTTAAAATAATTCCGGGGAGATATCCTATGCAGGCTTCCGGGAGTGTTAATATACCGGTGTTGTTTATTTTGGAGATTATTACTGGAGTTTCTTCCTTTCCTGTAGACGGACATTTAATGGTTAGACTCATGGGATTTGGCACGGAATAAGCCCATGTTCCCTGGTTGTCAATCCGTCGAAACCTAGGTGAGTAAGATCCTGTTAGTCGTCTGGGGCACAGGCGATTAATAGATTTTTCATTTCCAAGATATAAGGAATATTCGCAACTTTGTCGTGGTGATTGCCAGATAGGAACATTTGGTGAGCATATGGCGATAGGAGTTGTTTGACATCGAGTTAAGTCATAGTAAGATAATAACATATATGATTGACGATTTCTAGATAAGGCGATAATGGGATATGAGTTGTTATAATAGACGGAAGCTCTAAGAGTTGGATAATATACAGGTAATCGTATGATCTCATAGATATCAAAATATCCCGTGGGAGTAATAAGAGGTATTTTGGCGAAGATACGAAGTAATTGAGGTAATGCGACTGCAGTAATAGATGTCCATTGGTAGTATTTAAACATAGTTTCCATTTGTGGCGTTTCTAAGAAGGAATATCCTTCGGGAAGGTGAAGTTGGATTTCTTTAAGAGTGGTTAATAACACTTCCTTAGGAAGGAAATAGGTGCTGAGTCGTCCCTGTTCTAGGGTTTCAATGGCATTACGTAATTCAAGGATTAGAGTGCGAAATTCTCGAATGGAGAATTCCGTGGCTCGTACTGCCGATTCAAAGACTAGATAGTATTGTTGTTGCTTTACTGCTTCTTCAATTAGGGTTTGCTTCTTCATTAGAGAATAGATTTGTTGTCGATTTATTTTGGCAATACGTAAGGTATCATTAAGTAGAGTAGCCTGTGACTGGATGAGGTGAATAAATTCTTCATTCGTTTCTGATAATTGCGATAATTTGTTGTTTAAAGTTTCGATGTCTTCAGAGGTAGCTGTCCCAAATAAGTATTTTAAAATTTTGCCTCCTGCGTTAATTAATCCTCGTCTCTCTCGTGTAATGTTGTTAAGAGTTACTAAGGTTTTTAGTGCGACATATTCTGATTCATATTCATCCAAGGTAGTTTTTAAAAACGTGAGTTCTTCCGTAGGTAGAGTCCATCGAGGTATAGAGAGGTCATCTTGATCTTGGATTCGAAGTTGTCTCTGTACGAGAGTGTTTAAGAGTTGCAGATGTCGTTTGAGAAGATGCAATTGTTCGTCATAGGGAGAGAAAGATATATCCGAAACGAGGATCCAATAGTTAGTAGTCATGAAAAAATTTCCTTGATGCGCAAAGACAACACCTTTGTGTAGATTATAAACTTCTGGAGTCGGTTGAATAAAAGGAGCATAAAGGGTGGAAGTCAGGAGGAGGAGTTGGAGAATTCGTATATACATGGTTGTTCAGAGTCTTGTCTTCGTAGAACTCTGAATAAAGGAAGGAGATGTTAAAGGAGAATATTGTAGAGTACGAGTTATTTATATGATAATATTAGATATTAGAATAAAATTATAAACTCTCTTCCTTTCTCTCTCTCCTCCGACTATGTACTTCATTAGCTAGGAGATAACTAATAATGATTAAGAGCATAGGGAGAGGTTGAGTAAGACCGTGGAGTTCGTCGAGGAATACGACTACTCCGTTGGGGTCGAGGCATTACCCAAGGCTGGTCGGGCACTGGGCCTCGGCTTCTAAGAGCGTAAGGAGGCGTTGTTTCCGGTTGCTCTTCCTCTGCATTCGGTCGTGTGATTTGTTGTGGAGTGACCTCTATTTGTTTTTCCTCTTCTGTTGGTTCTTCCTCTCCTTCCGATTCCTCTTCTATTTCCGGTAGGTCTTCCGATTGTTGGGTCATTTCGGTTAGGATAAATTCATCCCATGGATCTACCATATTTGGATTATCTGATATTAAAGATTGGGGGTTCGTGACAGTCGTAGTTTCAGGCTTTTCCCTTTCAAATTCTAATTGTGCACTACAGTGTTTTAATCGATTAGCATGAACTTGGAGTTGTTTCTTGGTGTGAATATTTTCGATAATAAATGTGACAGGACTTAATTCTGTTATTATTCGGAAAGGACCTGACCATCTCGGTGCTAGTTTTTTCTTTAGACCTTGAGAAATAACGACTTCGTTTAGGAAAACACGGTCTCCCACATGATAAGTAGATAATTTATGAGTACGGCGGTGATGTGTTTGACGTTCTTTAGCTGCTTGTTCGGCGTGTTCCTGTGCTATTTTGTGTGCATTAGCCATTCGGAGATGTAATTCTGCAGCAAAATTATCATCGATATCATATCTAGTCCGAGTAGGACGAGTAACCAAATCAAACGGATAAATGGGGTCTCTTCCGTATAGTAAAAAGAATGGGCTATCATTCGTAGATGCATGAATGGTTGTGTTGTAAGCAAAGAGTGCATACGGGATCCATTCATCCCAGTCTCGTTGATCTTTGGCGACATAATGCGATATGATGTCAATAAGGGTTTTGTTAAATCGTTCGACTATTCCGTTACATGCAGGATGATATGCAGTTGTTAAGAGTCTTTTTATATGGAGTAATTCACATACTTCTTTAAACATTTTAGAGATTAAATTCGGCGCTCGATCTGTAAGGAGTTGAGTAGGCGTTGAATGTCTTAAGACGATATTTGTAACAAAAGCTTTGGCGATGGTTTTACTATGGATATTAGGTAAAGGTATAGCTTCTGCGTATCGACTAAAATGATCGACAAATACTAATATATACTTGTTTCCGTTTGTTGTGATAGGCAAAGGACCTACGATGTCCATAGCAGTTCGTTCAAATAGATGTGTTAAAGGTGGAAATAATTGAAGTTCTGCTTCTTGACGTTTATCCTTCCTCTTGTGTAAGGCGCATCGTTGACAATCTTGACAATACGTTTTTATATCTTTATTCATAGTTTGCCAGAAAAATAATGGTCGAAGTTTTTGTTGCATTTTCTGTGCTCCTAAATGACCTCCAAATGGAGTGTCATGATATGTATGTAAGATGTAAGGAATTAAGACCGATGGTATAACTAGTTGTTCTAAAGGTTCTCCCATGAGAACAGGTTGTCGATGATATAGAGCTCCTTCCTCATCTAAAAAAAATTGATTCTCCAGGTTGGGATCTAGGGCTGTATCAGTTTCAAGCT